ACTGCAGCTAAAAAACAATTCAGACATCTCAGTGATCTCTGTAACCATTAAATTCAGGATATTTTGCCTTTTATGCTAGTAATTTCCGGATATTTCCCAATTATGCTAGCATAATTCTTGTATTCTTCTACCTAGTCATTATGCTCATTTTTATGCCAGCATAATCTGCGCCTCCCTACTAAGCATTGCAAAACGTAGTCAAACATAAATTGATAATAAAAATTGATAAAATTGTGTAAAATTACACAGATAGTGGAAATCCTCTGTGATATGACACACGAAGAAGAACAGAGGGTCTAATATAACCAGGAGGAAAAGGAGTAACATCTGGTTCAAACACAGGTTTCAATAGACTGCTGCTAATAACACCATATAGCTCTTGTTCTCCTCTACTGACAATAGAGACTAAAGAAAAACAGAATAATGCTGTATCTTTATAAAACAAGCATTAGTAAAAGTCTATTGTGAGTTGTACTGGTATAGACACTATGATAAAAATAAAGCTATTAAGAAACAATTGAGGTTCTTACACTTCCCCCCACTCTTTTCTGACAATAAAATACAAATATAGCATTTGTCCATTATCTCTGTGGTGTTCTTCTTTAATAGATTCTACTCTAGTAGTCTATAAAACCATATCTACCTTAGTCTTGCTAGACAGACCATTCCCCAGCCTAAAGTTGTTTGGGTTTAAAGACTGTAGGCTATTGGGAAAGGTCTGAATAGCGAGACTATTAGCTGTGTTAATTAGTAAAGATTAGAAATAATTCTAAATTATGTAGTTCAATAGCTAATGTTATGTTTCAGTCTAGGTATATCAGTTAATACAATAGGAATAACATAATCACTGTTAGATCATCCTTTCTCTTCTCCAGCCATCATGTCCAACAAACCATGTCTCTTAAGATAAGACTGACTGTCCACACTAAACTCATGAGGAACTAATGAACGATTAGCACTAGGGGAAGGAGAGAGAGGAGGAGGAGGAGGGAGGAGAGGTGGTGGCGGTCGTACAATGTTCTTGGTTAAGTATTTCTGCGATATGCTATCAGTAATATTCCACTGGTCATCAATAGTAGTGTCAGTGGATTGGATAGAAGAGACATCAGTAGGAGACCTGGACACAAGAGAGGAGAGGAAAGGTGTAAGTGAACTGAGTACACAAGTGTCAAGCCAAAATTCCTGATTTTTAGCATTTATACCATTTAGGAGGGAGAAAGGGAAAGAGGGAGGGAGGCATAAAGAAGAGAGAGAGTAGGGAATAAAAGACATTTATCCATGTACATGTATAGCTATGACACAGAGTAATATAACACTCACTCTATTAAATAAAGGCAGTTGATAGAATCCATTATTATCAGTTGACAGCTGGTGGAGTCTTTGCTTGCTATGAGTGATAT